GCACAAATATTTATGTTGAATCAGAAATGTAAGGCATTGGTGATGTTTGCAATTACCCTCCTGTAAGCATTGCTTTAATGTTTTACATTGGATCTGATTACGTCATAATTTCCATACCTGACTGACAATTTTTGGACAAAGTGCAAGCGGCCAGCACTTTGTTCACCCACTGTCTGTGTACTGTTTCTGACATATTGACTGCCTAGATAGCTTTCAAAAAGTAACATCACCTGGCCATCCCCTTAATCAACAAAGCTATTTAGGTACTCGAGTGCAGCAGCAGTACTCCCTCTCGGAGGTTCGTAGGGTGCAGTGATTGAGTTTGTGTGGTAGTATTAGACATCCATTAGTATTAGTCACTTCCGGGCAACTAAGCAATGAACCACAGTTTGAAAACAAACTGTTGTTACAACATCAAATACTGCCCTGCACTTCAATTTGCATTAGTTCTCCTAATGTAGTAATAAATTGTTAGCTGTTGAACCTCCTTGAGATAGAATTGTTCATTTGAAATAAAGCATGCTTTCCGCACCATAAAACCTGCGACTCCTTGTTATTTATCATGCTGTTTTCACAGTTCCTGTACTACACTACAGAAAAAGAGTTGCTGAAAGAAAAGACTAGGTACAAATGCCATTCTCCAGCATAAGCCAGGTAGCTAACTGTTGAAAATCCAGCCATCTATCAGAAACAGCCTGGCCACAAGAAAGTCAGCCTTAAAAAAAGCCAGACTTTAAAAAAAAAAAAGGTTTTCTTCATAGGTTCTTCATCGACAAAGGATAAATTCTAGCATATGCCCACGCATTATGCTGTTCTTATCATCCCTCTGTTAAGTGAATTTCCAGGCCTTTCACTACACCCTATATGGATAAATTGCTAATCTCTCCTCTTTATTGTTGGTCTCTGCTGAAAGTGGTTAAAAAACTGCCTCCAGGAAACCTGGCTATTGCCTCGTTTTTTTAGCAGCTGCAACTAGTACAGACCAGTTGACCCTAATTGCCTGGACCTACATGTTCTCACCTCCCATGGGTGATTAAGGGCCCATGCCCCATCAGTTCTTCATCCCTCAAGTCAGCTGACATACCTGTAGGAGCAAAGCCTGTCTTTCTTTACATTCCTAGGGGGAAATCACAAATCCCATGCAGGCAGGTCACAACTGTGGTTATCTATGGGAAAAGAATATCAAGGTCAAAAGAGCAACTCTGCTTCTAGAATTCACTCTGGTCAGTAGAAAAAGCTTGAGAGCAAATACACTCACAGCAATGCAACACTGCTTCAGGGGCTGTAAAATCCTCTTAAGTGGAGCAGGAGCATTAGTTAGCAACACTATGCATCACTGTGACTCCCAGCATACTACCACTACTAAAAAAAAAGTTCAAGTTCATCAGTAGTAAAGCATGTAGTATGCTTAAAAATCTATTCCAGAAGGACTCACTATAGAAGTAGACTTTTTATTAATTTCCTATAAACTTATGTAATATCAACCACTAGCTATCCAATTGATGCAGGAAAGCTAATTGAAACAAGGACTAAAGTAAAAATAAGGACTTCAGAAGAGCTAAGTTTTGGGTTGGGACAAGATCCGGACTTTTTCTAGTGATGGAACTAGGAATATTTAGAAACAATTGTAAAGATGAAAGAGTTTAAGAGTGCATGGTATTTCTTCCTTATGGAGGAGAGTAAAAAAGAATAATAAAAATTAGGTAAAAAGCACCTTTTATTTTAATCTTTAAAGCATTCAAAGAAAAAAAAAAACCAACCCTCAAGAAAGCTTCTCATTCTAATTCCGTTAGATGTTTAAAAAATCCTAAACTCAATACAAGACACAAAAATACACAGGTACAGTCTTGTTTAACCAAAAACTAACTTGTGTACACAGGCACATAATAAAAACAACACTAAAAATGCACAAGTTGGTCATCTGAGCAGAAAGTAATAGTGACAGACAGCATCTGCAGATTTAAGCATGAACTCTTCTCCACAAATGCTACTGGAAACTCGGTCTTCCATGGCCTCTACAGAGTCTAGACGTATTTATTTGATCAAGAGGAAAGCACATCGGTGTGGCATTGTAAAGCAAGTTCATTCTGCCTGTACCTCTTTGGCCCACCTCTGCACCGTACTTAAGCAAGCACACCTAACTTTAAGCAGATGAGTCACTCACATGCCTAAAAATAGGATTTATAGTACTTACAGGCCTTATGAAGCACAGCTTTAATAGATAACTTTACATGCTAACCTGCTGAGCCAGTGGTTTTTCACGAGACTGCTAAGCAAACGCTAATACAGAGTGACATCGATAAAGTCACAATCTAAAGCTTTGATATTCAGTTTCATAGAACACATCCCTAAACAGTAACATTTTTCAAGACAATAGCTTAAGCAGCCTCTGGATTAAAAAAACATAAAATGAGCAACGAACATTTCAAATTATTTGCTTATTATATTTAGGTCAAATATTGGGATTTTTAACTGTACAAGCTGACATTTGCTCTCTTTAAAGATAAAATCTATTGCACTATAGGACCAAGTTCAGAAAAATATCCTACCACCAATATGTGTGTGAAGGCATTTGGACTTCATGTTTCCTAGGTCCTAATGCTAAAGGAAAACTTTTAAACAAAGCTCCATGAGCTGCTGTATGAATTCTACTATAGAGCTATACATTCTCTACTAACAGTTTACATTTGGCAGCCTGAGAAAGACAGATAACTGTGACGGCAGATAGCCATAATAACACTGAGAGATTCATTTTACTGCTAGCACACAAGAAACCCTAGTCTTAACATTGCATTTCAATTTTTACCATCGTCTCCAGTTTCAATTACTTTTCCCTTCAAGGGGAGAAAATTACGTGAACAGAACACAAAAACGTCTCATGTCTGATAAAATACTAAACCTAAATCTTCTCTACTTGTTTTTTTTTCCTTCTCCCTTTTTGAAGATAATAACAATCTAGAGCTTGGATTTAAAAGAAAAATAATAATCAGAATATTTAATGTCTATTAAAAAAACCAAAGCATAACAGTCAAAAATAAATCATTCAGTCATTCCCACACTGGAACATGCCATAGGACTAATAGCAGCAGTACAAAGGAAAAAGGATGATGGAGAAAGTAAGATACTCTGACATGTCTGAAAATGACAGTCAGTGAGTAGAAAATTAAGTCAGGTCCATGTAAGCTTCTGCAACTGTAACCCAAACTTCGTGGAAAATGCCTAGGCAGCCTACGGAGGGAAGATACAGAAGTAGCCAAAGCAGTATTTATCACAAGAGAATATGAAACACAGGGAAAAGGAGGAGAGGCTCTTAAAGTATCACCTTTGACATCTATAACTGACAGTCTTGAAGATGCCTGCTTACCCTTCCCTTTGAAAAAGCTGAAGGACGCCTGTCTTTTTATTTTTTTTATTTTAAACACATCCATAAAATACAGCTGTGCTTTCATCTTTAGCCTTCTCTCCCATACGTGTGCTGGTTAGTACAGTCAGGATATGGCTACGGGCATACCTATGTATATTGGTGCATAAAGAGCCATGATAATAGTGCCCTACCATGAAGAAAAAGGTAGCACCAGACAGCAAAGAAGCGAAACAGTCTGACTACTTTCTTACGGTACTCACTTGCCAAACAACATTCTGGATTGTTCATCCAGACTTAATAAATATCAAAATGCTAAGTAAAGTAAATTAAATTCCTAAATGACACCTTCTAATCACTACTGTACATACACAGTGGGAAGAGCAGAGGTAAAGCACTTCTTTTAGAATGTTTAAAGTGCAGGCCATTACTCCACCTTGTAGTAAGCTTGCTCCTGTTAGTGTGTTAGATATCCTTTGCAAAACAGCGAAGCTCTGGTCCCCCCACTGCACAGGCAGAGGAATGCCTAGTTTCCAAATCCTAGTTCGCTGCTTAAGTTAGCAGCTAAGGGGCCAAGTCCTTCCAAGACAGTGGCAATTCTAAGGATGTACGTACACCATTACGGTCATCTGGGGAGCTTTACAAGTGAAATAAAAATCTATATGGTTCTCTGGTCTTCAATGTTAAATAGCAGAGATCTTCAGGATGCCAACTGTGGGTTTGGGCACCCAGGCTCTACAGAAATCCCCTTTAAGCAGTAACTTTCTTTTCTAGATCTGGATCTGGAACTCTTAGGTTCAGCCCTCAGAGTAGTCAGTAAAGAAACACCATAACAGGCAGGTTTCACATTAACTCTTTTAAAGCAGGATAATGAGGAACATCTGAAAAAAATATTTAGCTTTCAGACACAGACATTTCTTTCATTTGGGTGTTAGATCCCTTTAAAAAGTTACTAACTTACATGAGCAGGAACAACAGCTACACTACAATACTTAAACTCATGGTGGCATAACAAGCAAATCTCAAGTTTATAGTTTGTGAAAATAACCTTAACACAAATAGCTGTGATTTCAGTTTTTAAATAAATTGAGTAATTTTTTCTTTTTTTTATGCAGAAGCAACCTCTGACGTATTCCTATCCCAAAGACTGCTTCGGGGGGAGGGGGGGGGGTAAAAAAGTCAAAGTGACTTCCTATACATTAAGCTGAAAGAAATACAAACGTTAATTTTCAGAAGTTTAAAGCCCCTGAACATTGTAATCTCAGTATTCACAAACCTCCAAATCACTGAGTGCCTGATCATTAATTCTTTATAGTACAAGCTGGTAAGCCATTTAAGCACATTCCATTTCTCATTATCTGATATTAGAGACTTCAGAGATATAACTCAGTAACTAGAAGTTACCACTTTTCACCTAAATATATGTAGTATGCTTAATTCTTTAAGTGATAAATACTATTTAGAATTGGTTTCAGACTGATCTCTTCAGAAGCAGTTGAGATCAAAACTAGAAGTACTAATTAAACGTTCTATGTTGAGGTTCAGCTCCCATTCTCCACCAGAAAGAATAACGACACAATTAGTCATTCCTGGTAAGTTCTTCCCTAAACTTGGAAATGAAAACGTAAGAGCATCCAGATTTATTTTTTTTTGGTCTCACCACATATGGATCATTGTGATTCAGCCAGCTAAGTATCATTTTCAGAAATGACTTCTTAGCTCCAGATGGCAAAAGTATGATGGCATACAATCTTCACTGATTTCATTGAAATACATTTTAGGATTTTTGCCAGAGTTTGGCATAGGTATATATAAAAAAAGCTGATTTAAGTTTAGCAGGAACATGTTACATGTATACAAAGCCACCATTCCAGCTTTAGTGACATTGAGAAACCCAAAACAGTGCTGAAGTAATTATATGCAAATTTTGTGCTTGAATCTAATCATTACAACTTTTGTCTAAACAATCCTATCTGTGGCAGTATTTAAAATTATTATTTACGACCACATGCACTGACCAGTCTCAGGTTTTTTTTTTTTGCACAATGTGGAGTCCAAACTATTTTCTCTGTAGTAGCTGAAAGCCAGAAAGAGATATTTGTTAATGTGACAGGTACTTAACACTGTACAAGCTGACAGAAACCTCAGTGAAATTTCAAAAGCACCTCTAAGACAGCGTATGATTCAAGACAACACTCTCATTGCAATATGTAGTTTACTTCTCTGAACATCTTTTTTAATACTTATTTTTACAATTGTCATAAGTGTCATACAGAATATATTAAAGCAAACATTCAGAAAAAAATGTACAAGCATGTATGTGGCTGATATGCATATGCAAATGCTAGTTGCATGAAAACTGACAGAACCGAGCACAAATGACAGCTCTGAGCTGGTATCCACAAATTACTTGTACGAACCACTCCATTCCACATGGACATAATAGTTTATAAACTGCTATTTTATATATGGGCAACACCTCACATGTTTTTCCTCAACATTTGGACCTGTTTTGATTTAGATAAATCAACATTCCAGAAATTTATACGGAAAGCTTCCATTCTGTTCCCATCTGTCCTTTCCAGCCTGCTTCAAAAACACCAAATTATTCATATACACATAAGGAAGACTAGTAAAACCAAATTAAAGAAGATTTGATTACAAAAACAGATTTTGGTATGTGCTTGAGTGCAAAAAACCCTGTACATTTATTTAAAAATTGTGTAAATCAAAAACAGTAAATGGCTTGCTTAAAGTGCTCTACAGCTAAGACTTTATAGACCAAGTTTATCCCTAAATGAATACCCCAAAAAATCCCCAAAAGCTTACAATGCTAACACTAACAACCTTGTGGACCAAGTTGCTAGTAGGCACTGTTACACTATTAATTAAGAGAGTCAGACTCTGATCTCACTTACAGTTAATGCAAATTTACACTGATGTAACTGAGAGCAGAACCCATCTCCTGGTGTATACCATCCTCAAATGATATAAAGGAGTCGCAAAAACAGAAGCTCCCTTTTGTATAAATATGTCATAAATAAAACATGTATAGATACAAATATTCATTACAACAGCAGCTTAATGGTCTAGTATTTCATCTCTTGCTTCTGTAATACTTTGCTAAAAACACATCTTAAGTGAGCAGAGTAAATCTTAACAGCGCTGCATTAGCTACTTGTGACGCTACACACCCCAGAAACAATTTATGCACATTTTGAAGCCTTTAGTAGATCTTTAGATCTTTAGTAGTGAAAGTACGTAGAAATTTTTGATGCAAAAAAGAATAAATAAATAAAAATTATTAAATATCCAATGTTTGGTACAAATGCTTCATATTAAGTTATTTTTATACATTTGTTTAGAAAAATACACTAAATATTTCCATTTTCATTGGCTAAAAATATGGACCGGATTACGTATAGCCTTGTGTTTTTAAAGAAGGCAATGTCAATTACCATCAAGCTGCTAGAGTAGACCCATTAGTGCCCATCCCACAGCCCTTACACAGGCAAAAAAGCCATTGCAGGGCTAATCACGGCTCCTGGTGGATGACCTGAAACAAATGACCAAGAGGCCCATGGCACAAGTTGCATTTTCTCAAAAAAAAAAAGAAACTTTTTTGCTGAAGTTTATAACCTGCAGGTTTACTAATGTATCAGTCAGACCTTCACACTTTTTAAAAAGAGCTACATTTACAAATGTGGATGCTTATCTGTTAAGCCATCATTTGTTCCAAAAAATGCACATTCAAACTGTGAAATATTAGGAAAATACTCTTGCAAATAAACTATATAAAGATAAAATACACTTCAAAGATAGTTTTTATGTTATTCTATAAAGTGCAGAGAAATCCTTCTAAAAAGGGAAATGACTACTTCCTATAACAACAGTATAATTACAGCAGCTTTTGCATAGCATTATTTATAGAAAATTGAATACTTTCAGTTTCTTCAGGAAGAAAAGGACGAAAGAGTCTCTTCCAGATCAGATCTTTCCTTTGATACTGATCTATTTTCTTCAGGAATGGTTGATGATACCAGGTCTCCATTGACAGCACTTCTAGAACAGTGAGCAGATCCTATGAAGATATCAAAGTATTTAATTTTCAACTCCAAAAAAGCTCATCCAATCTGTCAGTTATTCTATTTGCTATTTCCTATACATAAGCAATCAGAAGCATAATTACCCTGGACTTTTCCTGGAAGATTTCACTCAATATCATGCCCAAGGACGATAGATATGAAGAGTGTTCAGCTAGTATAAATCAAGTAATTTTTTATTATTTTTTTCTTATACACAATGAATTTTACATAATGAAGGACAGTAATCTGTGAGGTGCAGACATATTCTGTATGAGGAACACATGAACTTTTTTTTTTTTAAAGAACTGATGCATCGATAAGCATTTAATTAAAACATTTTCTATTATTAAAATGAAATGAATGACCTACTGCAAGTTGGGTATTGCTACGCTACCTGACAGGAAAGAGAAAGAACTAAGATAACTGGAAGGTAGCAGAGGGAGCTGCTCACACAGGAAAAGAAAACAAAAACACAGAGAAACTGAGCTAGAAACTAGAACTACATAGCAAGGAACCAAAAAAGCCTGGTATTAGCACAAACACACAAGACAAAGACTCTTCTCAGCAGTCCTGAAGAGTCAGACTGGGTAACCGACACCAGAAGGTCCAGATGGTAACAACAAAAGCCTTGCATCACAGGAAGCTAGACTGATGTGCACCTACATCAGCGTTGAGATACAAAATAGGATCTAAACTAAGTTTATTAGCTTGGGATACATGCTGGCATACCCTATGCAGGTGGCAGATGAGTGAGTTGAAAGAGGTGGTCACCCTGCAACATGTGAGCATCACAGAACCAAGGAAATGGTGCAGAGGTGTGAATACTTGCTTCATGATAGAACGTAAAGCACTGGGACCTCTTTGTGCTCACATGAGCTTTCAGCAATGCATAGACCTCAGGTTTTTTCAATCCAAGTGAGGCACTAGGCACTCTGAAAGGAAGCAAAACTAAACCAGAACTAGTCAAGAAGAACTAGTCAAGTTGAAATCTCCCTGAGAAGAGTTAGGATAGAGTCAAAATGACAGCAAGATTCAAAAGGAAAAAGCCACAGAAGAACTAGCTACTAACTCAGTAGACCCATCTAATCAGAAGGAAATAATATTATGATCATGACATCATTTCATAATTTTGGGGGCTGTCTTTATTTATTGACAAGGCTGCACTCTTTCAGAACAGTACTGTTCTCTACAAAAGGCAAGCAGCCACTGAAATGAACAATCTTTCTGCAATGCACTGGGTGGAAATTACCCCCTCCACTCACAGGGGTCACAGAAAGCAGAATTTGTTCCGTGACAAGACAGTGGCAAACAACAGTATTCCACCACTTACCAGAATATCGTTCATGTAAGATTTTACTAGCACAAACATCCCTTTTCTGGTTATGTCTCTATTTTATCTTGCCAGTAGTCCCACTGATTTCAGTACAACTACTCCAGTTGTAAGATCCTTTTCAGTATGAGTGAAAGCCAGCAAAAGCCAGCCACATAACAAACTACAGAAGTGCTCTGATTGATAACATTATCTTACAAACAAAACTTTGTGTAACTAAGAAAACTTTTTCCTCGTGCTGATATCAGCACTAGAACAGCTGCTGTAAATAGGGTAATAAATTGTACAGAAAGATACAAAAGAAAACCACCCTTCTTCCAAACTTACTCTGAGAATCTTCAAAGGGAGTATCACTGTAAGATTCTGTATCTGAGTATGTTCTTCTGCGCCGCTGTGAAAATCGGTGAAGGGATGAAATTGGTTCTTTTACAGAGTGATTATTTCTACAAAACAAATGAGATCTATTAGTAAGCAAAATCTGTAACAACCCACACAAACTTAATATACTTTAAATTTAAAATAATTTTGGTGCTTAGATTAAACTGTTAGTATCAATGTTTTTCACTATACTGAACTAAAAATGGCACAGTCAGCAGAACATTCTTAATTTTCACAATTATAAAGCCTGAAAATGGAAACAAAAATGTAATACAGTATTTGCATGCAGAAGAAAATAACTCAAGAATCTGAAATACTGACCCCAAAAGAATGTTAGCGTTTCAAGCTGTGTCTAATTTCATGAACTTGTCAGAATAAGTTATTTGCATAAAGCTGCTAGCATGAAGAAATTTTTGTAGTGTATAAGAGACAGCATCTGCATTATTCGCCACCGACACTGATAATCTGCACCCTTAGTTTTCAAAATTAGATCAATTTATGCTGTTTAATTTTTTTTCGCCCAAGTGAACAATTCTTCTCACATTTTTATTTTAATGCTAGCAGGTTCAGGGAGGTTTCTCGAGACATAAGAAAAAAGCTTAATGAAATAGAAAATTACCTTTCTGAATAGCAAGGACCAGGGTGGCTAATGGAACGCTTCATCTGGGCAGGGGGGGGAAAGTCCAAACAACAAACCACATCAAAAATGTCATAAGCTACTTATAAGAAAATGCATACCTACATTAATTTTACTTTATTCACAGTCTCTACAAACTGAGAGGGCAATCTTTTCTTTTTAATTAATATCAGCCATTCTTAGTTAAACATCTGATTTAACTATATGAAAACAGATGGATTGCCATCAATATTAAAAGTTTTAAAGAATTCACACAGGAAATAGTTTACTACAAAAAATACTATCTAGTTTCTATGGAAATCGTTCTCTCTTGCTCCAAAGTTACTCACAGAGCCATTTGTTAATTGCTATAATTTACAAAAATATCAAGACATTTTTCCTCTACCAAATGCCAGCTTAAATTCCCCATTACACAATCAAGCCAAGTGCTGCCTGTTGATTCCTTGTGGTTCTTCTAATATCATTGTCAAATCTCTATGCATATCAAAGAAAGGTATTAATTTAAATCAATAATGATCAGCTTTGTAAGTAAATTGACTGAAGATAAAGGGACAAGAGACCCAAGTGCAAAAAAAGGGATTCCCACAACAAAATCCCACAATACAGCTCATCTTGGAATCTATACATATGATCAAGAAGACATTTAACATGATTCCACATACACTGTCCTTCTAACGGAAATAATCAGTAGTGAAGAGTTATGAAAGTAATATCTCTACCATTATTTAACTTTTTGTTAAATAAGGGCATATTAGATTAATATAAACATTTTGAATTATATACACTCAAAGATATGCTATCTTGCTGAAGTGCTTCAAGCCACAAGGCACTTATCTGTTTAAACTGGAGGCAAAGTTATGAAATTTTTAAGGTCAGTGTACAGCTAGCATTGTAAAAAACAAAGAAACAATAGAACTGAGGAAAAGTTAAACCTCATTCATTTACAAGATACCTCACTAGAGGGTCTTGATATGTACAATAAATGACTCTGATTATGTAAAGGCTAGCAAACAAAGACTGGGAAAATTATTGATTTCTATTTAGGACCAGTACTGCTCATAACAGAGTCAAGATTTCAACTGTTAACATCACAGCACATAGCACTAGCATAGTCTTCTGCCATTCCTCCCCTCATCCAACCAACAATACGAGACTTAGAAAAAATAGTATTTCAAAATGTCTAAACCATTTGGACCGGTGATGGTGACACAGGAGAAACTAAGGGATCAGGGTGAGGCAGCTGGAACATTTCTGGCTTAAACTTGGCATTAGCAATCTTCACACATTCTTCAAGTGTTGTGATAAATGTATTACATGTGGCACTAAGCAAGGAAGAGGCTTCATTCATGTTCTGAAAATAAATGAAAGCACAAGCATAAGCAAGAAAAAAATATGAAAAGATGCACATACAACTCTCCCCCACCACCACTCACACACACACTGATTTCCCTCATTACCACTACAAACTTCCATTTCCCATTTTATTTAATCAAATGTACATCTTCCAGTGAGGTTAATTTAAGCAAACAAATGTCACAGCATTGTAATTTCTTTCTGACATCTGAACTTCTTTAGGGTATCAGCCAACAATGCCTTAACTTTTTTACTGTAAAGCTTGTCTCAGAGTGACTAACTGGTATCAGATCATTCAGTGAAACAAATGCATTGCAGCAGAATGTGTGAACAGCTTTATCACTCCAGTGGAAGGAGCCTGCAGGTCAGTTTCACCTTGCTGTAAATTGACAACAATTTGCTGTGTTGTGACTAAGGGTCAACCCCTTGCTTTGCCCTAAGTGGACAACAATATTGTCCACACACTGCTGAAGAGTGTAAAGAATGAAGCCATTCATAATTTCCAGTACTAACTTTCACTTAAAAGCAGAAATACTAGAATTTTACTTGTGCATATTCAGAGACACTTAACTACACCGCAGGTTTCCAATATCTTTAACACGAGTTTCACTGATAACAAAATGCAATATCCTACTACACAAGGAAGTACAGAATGGACAAACGAGTTTGTTTCAACTACTCTGCCCATAATAGAGATGCAAAACAAGACAAATTATTGCATAACTCATATGGCAGTTTTTCCAGCCTTTTAACCAAATGACTCAATAACACAATTGCTTCCTAATGCATATTACAATTACAGTTAAATACCTAGGTACTTTATGCACATATAATCACTGGTAGTATTATATACACAAAAGCACTCAAAAATTGACCTTAGGTTAAATCTCCCAACATCAGAAGATGAAAAAGGCATAAGATGTCAAGAGAAACTTGAGGTGTATTATATAATTAGGTTCTCCAATGGCATTCTAGAAATTCTGTACCTCAATGCTGGGAGGAGAGCGAGTCTCATCATGGTGAACAAATTCTTGTATTGTATGAACTTGCTGCATTAAAAGATCACAGTAGAGACGAAGTTCAGACATTTTGGTTTTAAGAGATTCATTGGTCTCACTTATTTCTATAAAAAAATAAAGGAAATATCAATTTATTGCATACAATGTATGTACACACTTTAATTTTTAAGCACTTTTCATTTACATTTAAAAAAATCACTTTAACTTTCACTTAATTTTGAGTAAAATTGGACTCTGCAATAAGTCAAGAACTGTACTTGAAGCAGACAACAGTTTATATTTTTGGATAACTGATGCTAGATCATTAAGAAAGAGACACATTACTAGGAAACATAAAAGTTGACATCTTTCTTAGCTGCAACATGATGTAGAAAAAAATTTAGTGGATGAAATTTACCTCCACCACAGTGGCTGGAGATGGTTACCTTAAGCCAGCCAAGAAAAATTATGGAAAAAACAATAGTAACTATGAAGAATCAAAACCACAGAAATTAAATGGCTTCACAACAGCTACAAAGAGTATGTTTGTTTTTCTAATGACGATAAATTGCTGGTATTCCAGCTTATTAAGATAGAAGAGGTCAATGGAGGTGACCTGTCATTCAAACATCAAGGGGGAATTTACCATATAGATGACTAGAAATAATGACGATTTATATTTAAAGACAATAATACTGACTTCCTACCACAATATTTGCACTATCATTATCTGAAAACAAGCATTTGAGAAAGTGGTAAGATTGTATACGCTCTAGGTAATAGACATACCTTTTTCTTTTTTTGTTCTGGTATCTGCTAAACAAGCTTTTGCACTGCCCAGTGCTACCAGCCACCTTTGCCTTTCGGCTGCATTAACTGCTTTCATATAGAAATGCTGTTCCCCTGGGATGATTAGTTCCATTCTTGTGTTGTCTGTTGCATGAACTTATGATAGAGGAGAAAAAAAACAATTTTGAATAAAGAAAAACAACCTCAACTCAGTAACAATTACCTATTAAAGACTGACCAAAGTATTTTAAAATGTTTATTATGATCCCACAGTAAATCACAATGTACCACTGCTAAATAAGAAAAAGCCCAAAACTGCTCAACCCTTCTCCCCAGCATGCCTTCAAGTCAACAGGTAGGAACACAAGACATTGAACAGTGGCCAGACTCAAGTACAACGGGGTTCCCTTTCTGCATTAACAACATACTGCGTATGAATCTGTAATAACTGTTGTATTCCAAACCTGGTCTAAACACGGAAAACTGAAGAGTTTTCTTGCAAGGACAAGTACTTATGGAGAACTAGGCTAAAAACTGAAATAATCTCCCTTCCAGACATCTGGCTTCAGGTTGCAGAGTCCTAGAACCAAGAACTGAGGTGGACTTTGTTTAGAGTCTATTATATTCAATACTGCATCTTTAACTGAATACTCTTCTGAGTTTCATGTTACCAACCATAGATCCTCCAGACCCACTCCCCACTAGCCATGGATGCAGGAGACTGCACCAAATCCAGACTTCAACTATTATCTTTCCTTCACCAAAAGAACACGATAACAAGCAAAATGAACAATGGGAATTGCCAAAAAATGGGATCTTCCACTTTACATCACTGTTTTCATATATATCAAGAAAACAGTTAACAAAAAGGAGTTACCACATGAAAAATACTTGGTGGCCCATGTAAAATAAGAAGTCTCACTTTTTAATATACCAGTACCCATATCACAAGCCCAGTCATCTGTAGGTATCTGGAAAGAGGTCAAGAGTTGAAAGCAACGGAGAGTTAGACAATGCCTTGTTACTAGCCAAGGAGGTTGACCTACGGTTTAGAATACACTAAAAGCTAAACTCACAGTCTGACACAAACAGTTCACTTACTAACTCTAATACATCCATCACCTATGCATGTGGGCAGCTGCTAACAGTGACAAAAGTAAAAATGACTCAGGAAAACAAAAAACTAAAGATCTCTGATTTATAAGAATCTCCCCTACTGGGTCACTGCTGCTGCTCTTCTGAAAAACTAGCATTCATGATTCAGTCTCTTATCCCTGCTCATAAAAGGGAAAAGCAATAGAACTAAACAACTAGCTGAGGTAACTCCAAGCATAAGCCACATGCACACAACTATTTAAAACAAAAAGGAATACATGCTGGGTTCTAAATCTCAGAAGAGAGCTCTAACTGTCAAAAACATTTTTCTTTGTCACCACTTCATAATTCACATTCATCGTTATTTGTGAACTATGAAGCAGTCACATTGGACTACAGATAAACAAAAAAAGCGTAGGAAAAACCTGTGATGCAAAAGGTATGTTGGGTGATATTTTCTATTTCCCTGGCAGCTAAAATTTCCTCAAGCAGAAATCTATTAATTCTTACCTTTTATTTCACACACAGCCATCTTTATACTTCCTTTGCTGCCTTTGCAAACATCATCTTGTGAATCATAGTATGACAATATCCCATTGTCTAAAACAAACCACCGAGGCTGCCAACCTAGTGAGATCAAAAACATGAAAAGGAAAGTTTAGTCTAATTAGTAAACTGCAAATCAAATTGAGCTCTTTGCCTGTTAAAACTTTTATAAAAAATGCAAACATTAAACTATTCTTGTAATACACCAGGAATTAAACAATCTGCACAGTCTGAAGACCTGGGCCGTTCTATAACCAGACTAATATTATATGGATATTTCACTCCCATTCTTTTGGGGTGCAAGATCAGCAGTATTTCAGTTTCACTACATTCCATTCTAAAGCAAAATTAAATTTTAATTTAACCACCAAGGAATCTTATTTTGAAGGCTGATAAATTACGTACCTCTGAAGAACCATTCTCATTCAAGTATATTTTTCAGGTAGACTTTCTTAAGACTGTAGGATCTTATTTGTAAGATACAAATAAATGACCGATATCACCAACTGCTATGCTATGGTCTCCTCTGCCTACTGTATTTCAATGAAAACTTTGTATCTCACACATAACTACTGACACACCATTCTCTCTGAAAGTAGCCCAGCTCCATCGCTCAACAACAACTTAATGTTAGGCATTGTGCAGGGAACTGAGACATGGCTTGTACTCCTAGGTCCATTTGTGAGGACAGCATACACCAGCTCCTCTACTAAGGTTTTTACCAGCTTTGCACTAGCAAAATTATATAATGATCTCTGACTTCCCTACATCCACAAAACAGAGCAGTTTATGCATAGATGCAAGTATCTGTGAGAACTCGATGCAGCATTACACCACACAGTAAATTACTGTCATTGGCCCACTTGGATTAAAGTATATTAGCATTCAGTTTGTTGGTTTTTTTTTTTCCTTTTTCTTTTTTTAACAGCTATTTCATAAAACTCAACACTCATTGGAATAGATGCCCTAATTTCTAATACTACTAAATGCAAACCATTTTACCTAACAAATCATCTTTGTTTCTAAAAATAACATAGACGTAAAATATTCCAGTAGAGCATAACAATTACACAGTCAGGATCGGCTGTACAATAGGAGCAGATTACCCCTCTATTTTACAACTCCACACCAAACTTTAACTTCCTGCTTGGCTTAGGGTTTGGAATGGCAGTAACTGTGTGGCCAAGAACTCGACGTATTTGGCGATATGATGGTGTAGTCCATGGTGCTAATCAACTGCCATTCCAACAGAGCAAGCTGCAGTCATCCAGCAGCAGCGTGTTATAACACAGGAGGTTTAATCAGGTACGAGACTCTTGAAAATCAGCTAAAGGCTTCATACTACTCACATTAAGTCATGCCAAGTTTTAACACTAATTCAAGAAGTATAAGACCAGGCCCCACTACATCATGTCACAATTCCATGATAAGGAAATAATAACCTGTAACTATTTTTTTTTTTATTTATTTATTAGCTGTAACAGCAAGAATCTGTGTCTTTCAAAATGCAGAGTGGTAACTAATAAGCAGATCCACACTCAGATATAAAAACAGAATGAAAATAGTACAAACATTGAGGGATACCAACTCCCACAGGAAATATTTCAAACTGTATGTGTACATCACCACTTCTACTCAAAGAATATGCAGTCAAGAAATGACTGTACTGAAGACCCTGTCCTGTAAAACGCAGCTCAGAAATACACTAATGTTTTTCTTCCTCCTACACTGTGTTGCAAAACATTGATTCTGTGCTGCCCTTCGTCTCCTAAGTGCATGCACAGGTGGTAAGTCAATGCCTGTCTCAACAGTCTGATTCTGATAAAAAGGGACCCTACATAGATGATTATTCCAGCCTCACATTATGCTGATATTGGAAAAAACAGAAGCAAAAGACTTAAAAGACTCCAAGTGTCTCACAGAAGCAAGCTAAAGAACAAAAACACCTCTTCCTATTTTAAATTGGGCAAACAGAGCATCCTCTGTTTGACAAAATATTTAACAAATTTGTACTTCACAAATTCTCAGATACACACATATTATTTGAAGGGAAAAAAAAATAAAGCTGTATTTCTGGTTTGCTTTTAATGAAGGAGAAAACTAAATGTTTTCCACAATGCTTCAGCAACAATAACAAGCTCCTTTGCTGCTTGGCTTCCACTGTTAATGACAACAAGTACTACAGCCTATTTCTGGCTGCAAACATAAATAGCAGAGTAACAAGGAAGTGGGTAATAAAATTTAAAAATGTCACTAATACGATTAGATTTTTTTTTTTTTTAATTTGCTGCCCTCCTATATTCTGGAAATTGTAGGGACGCTGACATATTGTAATTTTGAAACGCAAGAGCAGATGCTCTCTGTTGGCCAGCACACACAGAAAGAAGGGTTCTGCAGTTTGCTATTTCAGAGGCCTACCGAGTTTTAGCAGAAGTTAGCCGCGTAACTTCTACGTAACAGTCTACTGTGTGTACAGCATTCACAGTTACTGTTGAATATTTCCTTATTAAATAACAGACTTCAAATGGGAAGTTTACATCAAACACCACAAGGGCTTATTACCTGTGACCTTTTACTACAGTAACATTTTTGGTCACATAAGCAAAAGTGATGATTTCCACTCCATTTCAAAAAGAAACTTGTACTCATTATTTCTTTCAAAACCACAGTTTTTCTTATATGTGTTTTCTCCACATTTATTGTGAGGAAGTGACAAAAATCTCTTATCAAGGATCTGTTTAATTACAGTACAACTTTTCTCTTTCACCAGAAGGCCAGTATACGTGGAGACGTGTTTGCTCTGAAAAATGCAAGATTATGCTCTGTACACTTCAATTCACAGCAAACGCACACAATCCTTGCAACGTGGCCAACGTTTTCTAAACGCTCAGAATTGAGTTTCACACCACCCCACCTTCAAAATCTGAATATGCTGAAGCAGAAGAGCACATGTGAAGTACTGAAGAGCAAGGGGGCAAAGAAGATATTGCCAAAGCAGTCAAACACGAGGCCTGATTAAGCATGGTATATGACCCAACACCGATCTGCTCCGGAGGGACAATTAGTCCTATTACAGCATCAGAAGGGAAATCTGTTTCACCTTGGCAGTACCACCTATCCATTGCTATCTCCAGAGGGAGGTGGTATCTCTATTACCACACAGGATGAGGCAAACAAAACCAGAGCTTTGACGGCAAATGCAGGCACTTGGTGCATTTTTGGCTGCAGCACGTCTCAAAACACATTTTGTGAAGCTTCACCCAGAACTAAATTTTTTAAAATGTTTTTCAGGTTAAGGTACAGGAGCGCCAGACTCAAAAAAATTACCATCCAAAAGCAAATTAAAAGGGAGTTCAGACTTTTGCATTTAGCACTGAAGATTTAAAGATGTAATCCTAAATAATTCCTCAACTGTAAGCAAGGATACCTTCCAAGTTCGTATGCTGCAAATTAAAGCCATTTCTGAGAGGAACCAGAGGTGGAGGGGAAAATCCCACAGCTGGGCCGCTAGAACAGACGGCGTTTCCCTCCGGTCTGTCCCGTTAAGAGTCCCTGACTGACTTGGCGAGACGCAACCCAGGTCTCGGGAGGTACTTGGCCGCCCCGTTCCCAGCGGAACACCGCGGGGGCCGGGCGCATTTTGGCCGTGGGGCTGCCGGGGCCGCGCCGGTGCCCGCGGGGCCGCTAGGGAGGCGCGAAGGGGCTCGGCCCGGCCGAGGCC